CACTTTTATTACTCGAAGCCATTACCAAATTCATTAACTTAATTCCAATTTCAGAGAGATTAACTTGCGCGAAATAAAACTCATACATTCAATCCATGAAATGAATATAAATACTCTCATTCGTTATGCAAAGCGAATGTTACATGAAACATACTCCAATAAATTTCGCCCTTCGGGCTTACAACTTTAATAAACAATGAAGGGGTGTAACCCTTTTACACATATGGTGTTCCGGCAACAACGAAAGAGGCCCGTGGCCAACAAAATTAATAAGATCCAAATCTTAGCACAACCTGCTAAACACCTGAAAAGATTCAACAACGTGGGATGAACATAAAGTCCAGTAGGGATCTCAACCATGATCCTCAACAATAACAACTTACAGATAAGCCTATGATCATAATGCACACTCATTCTCGTACTAGAATAGTTAATATGCACAGTTTATACAAAATATATATATATATACTTTTCTTGAAAACAACCGTTTCATTCAATGCTATAAGCGATTCATCTTTCTTTATTCCTTTCATTAATCCCCATTCCCATTCTTTCATAGCATTAACAATTACTTAGGAAAATAATCTCACTAAGCCCGATACTCTCTTCCACTTCCTATACATACCCAGATGTACCTTTTCAAAACATGTTTATCGTTAAAGCATCCATTCTCCTTTACACTTTCCAAAAGAAAAAAAAAACATTTTTGGTTCATTTCCACTACTGTCATACCTATACATGCATAACCTTGTAAAAATATAAATTTATAACCCACCCACATGTATACAATCAATCAATGGAGTAACTCGGTTCTCCGAACTGGAACCAATCCAATCTATGATATTTTCAGTTACAACTAAACAACAACAATTCCACCCTGTTCAACTAGCTATGCGCTTAGTAAGCCAAAGATATACTGAAATAACTACAGCCAACTTCGCTCTACTAGCTATGTGCGTAGTAAGCCAAAATACCAGTTTACCAGGCGCTAGCTGGAAGGGTATGGTGCCTTCTATTATTAGCGCATACAGTTCTCCAGGCGCTAGCTGGAAGGTAACGGTACCTTTGATTATAAGCGCGGCATATAACGCCAACAACAACCATGCAACAAGGCATATCCAACATGTATAATGCATATACATAACCAACAAGAATCTAACAACGAGTTAAAGTAGATAAACACATAGGTGTAATGTATACACAACAATTCAACACAACCATGTCATCCTCCACCGATGACCAAGGACAAAACCTCTAGATGCATATATATTGTACATCTATTAACAGACTCAAATATCATGAGATCATCAACTTATCACTAATACTAACATAGTAGTATAAGATACAACAATCCAACATTCATACTCATTTCAAAGTACCTTTCCCATTTCACAAAACCAACTCTCTTTATTTTTAAAAACCGGTTTTATTCCTTTTGTTTTTCACAAAATCAAATCCAAGGACAATAAAGCCAAAGCTCATTTTAATCTACTACATTCATCTCAAAGCCATTCCAATTTAATTATACAAATTAAATCATAATCACTAACAGAGGATTTCCCTCCCCTTCTCCCAATATTGATAAAAAGGTTCAATCATCTACAATAAACAACAATGGCTTCATTCAAAACCCAAAATACCCAAGTATTTACCCAATGATCAAAACCCCTCTATTGAGTTATTAAACCAAATAAATATTAGGGTTTCCTCTCCTTACAACAACAACATGCTAATTAACACCCAATTAGCCCCAAAACACATCTAATGATAATAGATCTAAATCCAACAACTAACCCAAAGTTCAACCTCATGAATTTATACAAAAACCCAACATAAAAATGGTTTTCATGCAATACAAAAATTACCGCATGTCTATCTATAGACGTAGTATTGAAAAAGAACAAGGAGAATCCCTACCTCAAAGGAGAACTCAAAAGGAGATGATGACCCAAAATCAAAGTGCTCCAAATCCACAATTTTTCCGATTAAGACGAAGCCCTCGACACCCTCTACCTTTTTAACAAAGGACCTAGGATGGATTCATACTAGAAGGAGATGAAATCTAGAGAGATAATAAGTTTAGAGAGAGAGACTCTCGGCTGCTAGGGTTTCAAGAATGAAAGAGGGAGAAAAATGATCTTTTTCCCCGCTGCTGCCTACTGAAATACGATAGACTCGCTCAAGCGAAGACAAGCTCGCTCGAGCCAAGAATTCCAGTGTTCAGGTCCTAGTACCAGACGCAACGCTCGCTCGAACGAAGCCATCCTGGCTCGACCCACCAGACACAAAACTCCACGCTCGCTCGAGCGACAAACATCTCGCTCGAGCGAAGGACTAAAAACCTGGGCAGCAACCACCTGCTCCCAATCACACCCAACTTGGAACGAACAAGTCCAAAACATTCTATAACTCAAATTTAAAGAATTGAAGGACAGAAACAAGTTCAAAACAACAACCGGAATCCACGGAACTAAGTCTGAATACTACAACCAAAGGAGAAAGAACCGGGATCGCTATAAGAACAATCCACTAAGAAGATTTAAAGGAATTACACAGGTATACTCTCAATTATCTAGCGAATCCACAACGCCTAATTGAACCAACCTCTATG